GTCGATTATGTCTGTCGATTAAGATATAATCGACAGAAATACTTGTATAATCGACAGTATTTTCTGTCGATTATACTGCGTTTTCTAGTAGTGAAGGTAATATAATTACAAAAAACTGGTTTGCAGCCGGTGATGCTAATTTTTAGGTAAGGTCTTTATTTCATTATCATGTTCATAATGTTCATTCTATATTGTTCATTATCCGAGCTAGAATTCCTACCAAAGACCTAAAAGAGGAGTTTATGCTTTTTCTACTTTGGGCTTTGTGAATTAACTTTAGAAGAATCAGGCCATTGATTCCTTAATTGTGCAGTTGCCTATAGACTTTTAATGAGATGTTATGCATGGTTGGGTTTACTTTCTGTGCTTCCTAACTCATTTTGGATTTATTCAAACAACATGCCTGGTTTGGGTATTACAAGTCACTGAGGAAGGCATGATACGTAATCTGGGTTGGTATTTTATGGAGATTAAGGTTGACATACTTTCTGCATGATGAGATGATCAGGTCACGAAGGAATAAGTAGGACCAGGAAGAGCTTTGCTGAATATTTAGTACCTTGAGCTCTTATTGCCTTGATGGGATCAGTTATTTAGTGTGAGCAAGTTATGTTCTTAGCCAAAAAAAGAAAAAAGAAAAAAGATGTTGTATTAGACTTATTTCAAATGTAAATTTTCTTCATTTTATTTTTTATTTTTTATTTTTTAATTTAAGTGAGGGAAGTTTTGTCATTCAATAATGTTTTCTTGGAGGTAATTCTTTTGCTTTTTTAGACCTATTTATTTAATGTTGTGGTCGAGTTTATATTCAAGCTAGTCATATATCTAATGTGCATGTTGTTGACATTTCATTACTTCTTAGTTCTTAGGAAATTGGTTGTTCATTATTATTTGCAAACTTAAATATATATGAATTGTCCAAAACTTTGTTGCTTCATGTTGTTTTCATTAACTCTTAGAAAAGTTGACTCCTGTAGGGTGAGTGCTTTGATGACCTTTATGGTTTGATTTTTTACTTTCAAGAGTAGGTGCATTTTGTAACTTTCAATTCCGAGATTTAGTTTTTCATAGGCTTTGAACAACCTTCATTAGCCTTCATGATGAAGACCAAAGAAAAAACACAGAAGGATGAGTTTTTGAAATGGAGGGAAGTTGGCACTCTTCATGTGTGATTTGGATACTAATTCCAGTCAATTATACATTTGAGTTCTATACTCTTCAATTGATACGAATAGATGGATGCGATTTGGAAAATTTGTAAAAGAGGCCATGGAAGTGGAAGTGTAAAATCAGGATTACTGCTACCTTATATGGCATTTGGAGAGCAAGGAGCTTGTTGGTGATGCTGGAAAAAGTATAGAATGTAAATAGTGTTTCCAAGATTGTAAATACACAAATTTTAATACAAAGTTTTGCCAAACTGTAAAGAGAAATTTCTCTAGGTGTGCCCGAGAGATGTAGAATGCTTTTTATGCAATGGAAAGAGCTTGCCTTTTATTTAAAATAAATTCCAGTCAATTGTATATCTTTTTTTATTTTGCAATCGAGGCATGCTTTTATCTTCTTCGTGTAAAACGTTGTGAAATTCTATATCAGAAAAAGCATCTTGTTGCTTGTGATACTAATTTTACATGAACATGTTAAAAGAGAAATAAAAAGGAAGTAGTAGACGCAAATTTACAGCTAACTTTACAATATGTAAGAGATAAAATCGATACCAAGTTAATAGACAAAAGAAGCCCCTAACTAGTCTTTCATCAATACAATAATACATGGGCATATAAAAGTTCCTTTGATGGTATATACTACTATAATCTCTTCCCTAACCAACACAGGCAATATTTAAGCTCAATTCCAGAAAATAATCACATTGAAAGGAAGAAGCATTTCTCTAATAGCCTTTAAAATTTATCTGCAGCAAAATGAAATTCTCTTAAACTTGACATTTAACCAAATGAAATTTATGCCAATAAAAGAAAAAGAACTGAAATTAAATCCTTAAAGATGATAATGAAATCAAACATGGTTTTAAGAACCGAATGGCAATCAAACTAGTGAGAAATTGCAACAATGGAAGGAAGAACAAATGAATAACTAATAATCGTATGCTTGCGAAATTAATAGTCATACTGAATACAAACTAAATTTGAAATGTAAACTATAATTATATACAAAAACCGCTGAATTCCTAAGTCAACTAGATTATTTCCAATTCCCTTAAAATGTTAGTAAGCTCACGCAGCACGTGTGATTTCCTATCCCCCCTTTCTTCTATGTTCTGATAGTTTATTTTGTGTTTGAAAGAGACTTTAAACCAATGTTTTCAAACTCGAACCGGAGGTCAAACCGTTTTGACCTCCAGTTCGTGGTTTGAACGGTTCAACCAGTTTAATCAGTAAAACCGCTGGCTTAATGAAATACTATAAATATATGATTTTGCAAAAATATCACACGGCGTTGGTGGGTTGCATTGGTAGATGGCTGATCTTCTATAAGAGAGATTCGGAGTTCAAGTCCCCCCAATAACAAATTTTAATATAATTGTGCTTCAAAGTAGAATAAGTACATTGTAAAGCATTAAAATGACAAAAGAACATTGTGTACAAGTGGGAAAACCGTTGTTGTATATGGAGACTAAGTGTTCGAATCTCACGCTTGTAATCAGTAATAAGGTTAAAATCTTTGGGATTTATATGGGTTAAATAAAAGTCCAAGCACTTATTGACTAAAGCATTGCATTGTCCTGGTGGCAAAGAATCAACCCAAAGGCTCTAAGGTTGCAAGTTCAAATCCCGGCGGACACAAATTTCTCAAGATTTTATGCCCAAGCATTGAACTGTTCGGTTGAACGGTTTGAGCGGTTTCAAATGGTTCATCGATTTGAGTGGTTTCAAATGGTTTAATTGTTTAAACGGTTCGGTTACACTTTCTGAACCATTTAGATCACCGGGTACTAGTTCAATCGGTCCGACCATCCGATCCGGTCCGATTTTCAAAACCTTGCTTTAAACCTCAGCTTATTCAAGCCTTCAATTTCCTTCCGAACCATATTTGTCTCCCGATAGCAATGTTTTTGATTATTCTTTATTGAACTGCATTATGAAAAAATAATCAATTTTAGTGTTATGTACGCATAAGGACTCCTACATATGCCGACAGATACATCAAAGCAATCATATTTAGATCAAAGCCATTTATTTAAATTACCTACATGAGTGCCCACAAACCCACATGCAAGCAAGCAAAAGAAAGCAGGCAAACTTACCTTAGTATCTTTTGTTTCATCAATTTAATCTTTTCCTTTGGAGTAGCTATGGGAACACAAAACTCAATTTCATCTCCCATGTCAGGACTTAAATAAAGTTATGGATGGTTTTACTAGCAAGGGCACTATTTGGGATTATGATCTTCTTGTTGTCATGTCCCAAGAAAATAGTGTTCAAGATGCCAATCTCTTTCACTACCATTTGAAATCCATTGCATTCAATTTAGGCCACAAACATACGAGAAACATAATATTGTAAGACCATAAAGACCAAAGAAGACTAGATGAGGACGTAGTTCATATGATTATCAACTTACCTGATTGTCATCAATTTGACAACGGTCACCAACATCATATGCATGTGTTATAAATATGAAGAACAAAGTGTCTCCAAATTTGAAAGCAAGCAAAAGAACTTGAGCGCCAACCATGATAAGGACTTTCTCAGTTATTATTCCTAGTATAAGGAGACTTACAACAACTATGATGATAATGACAAAGACATTTGCCACCCAGTGAAGTGTTTCAACAACTGTCTCAATATCATTTAGTGTCCAAGAAAGAGCCCTCCGTTCTTCAAAAGCCTTAACCTAAGACATTTAAAGACCTTAAAGCACAAACATTTATCATGGCATAATAAAAGTATTAAGTGAAACAAACTTAGTGGCTCAGATTGCCATATTCTTACCACCCAATTCTCTATTGCTGATTTGCTAATTCCCTTGCTTTCAGATCCTTTTTCAAAGAGACTCATAGTCTTCTGGGCCTTATATTCTCCCATGAATCTCTTGATGTCCTCCAAGTCAATGTGCCTAATAAAACAGTTATATCACAAGCCTTTCAAAAGAAAAAAATAGTTAAGATTACAATAAACATAGAGAACCACCTCTATGAATAAAATATAAAAGGACCTCAAGGCAACGTTGACCATACCACTTGTTAGTTATGCAACAAACATTTACAAAATATATTTGGGATACAAGTGTAAAAGAAACAGATAAAAAACATACCCAAATCTAGGCTTAGCAACATTTTCAAATATCCTTTTTGCTGCGTTTTTGCCTCGTTTTTAGTTTTAATTTTAATTGACTTGCTATCTTCTATTTGCTTGTCTAAGGTAGAAAGTGGACCATGTTGAATTATATTCATTAGCTCCTTCATATTCCAAGTAGATATATTCTTGGGATTCATTTGGTGAAGCTCATCAATGCTCATGTGCCAACTTTTTTTATGTTCCTTTCTAGAAGCCAAGCAAAAGGGTGTACTGGTTTTGTCTTGTGAACTTTTCCTCATTTTTCCACTCCCTTCAATTCCCTTCCCTTCTTCCTCCATTTTTTGGATTTTAGGTGGTTCTGAAAGTGCCTTAATCACATACTCATTAAATAAAGACTCTAGGATTTTATCAAAGTATTTGCTCTTATAAAAAGAAGATGCAAGAACCGTCACCAATAGTGTCTTCGCAAGCCAAAACATCAGACCCACCACAACACAAACTAAAACCTCAGTAACAAGTCTAACAGCATTACTATTGGTTTCCTTCGCAATCTTTTTATCAAACAAGTATTGCCAAACAATCAAAATTAGAACCATCCACAAACTATTTTGTACTATGTTCCTCAATGCATAAACAAAGTA